AAAAAAAAATCTCTCTGATTTTATTCCGTTTTACAATCATACATTTTACTTATTACACATGTCTCCAATTTTCTTCCAGGTGCATATAAGAGACTCCTATCCCGTGATAGCCATCTCTTAGGCTTAGTTAAGGGTATGTTTAATATATATATTCACTGGGATTACCACTTATCATTAGTTAAAGGACCACTATAGTGCCAGGAAAACATACTCGTTTTCCTGGCACTATAGTGCCCTGAGGGTGCCCCCACCCTCAGGGACCCCCTCCCGCCCGGCTTTGGAACGGGGAAAGGGGCTAAAACTTACCTTTTTCCAGTGCTGGGCGGGGAGTTCTCCTCCTCCGATCCTCCTCCTCCTCTCCTCCCCGTCGGCTGAATGCGCACAATGCTTTCCTATGGACGCTTGCGTGCTCTCACTGTGATTTTCACAGTGAGAATCACGCAAGCGCCTCTAGCGGCTGTCAATGAGACAGCCGCTAGAGGCTTTGGGGGAAGGCTTAACCTTAACTGCTATGTTTATAAGAATATAAGAATGGGTTAACCCTAGAAGGACCTGGCACCCAGACCACTTCATTAAGCTGAAGTGGTCTGGGTGCCTAGAGTGGTCCTTTAATTAATTGATCCTTTTTCCAAATAGGCATCTTTTATCATGCATCATCCCTCCAGCTTCCCCTCAGGGTCTTTCTGATCTGGTTATTAGATACGTACGGTTACATTCACACTGTTTTCCATAAAGACAAGCCCCAGCCAGGGATAGAGAACTGACTGCAAGGGACAGGATCTGCCCTTAATACTTTAAATTTTAGTTCCTATGAGGCCTCCCACCTCCCCCCACCCACCTCACACGGAGGTATCGCCCACATGGCCCACGTTAGTAAAAGGGCCTCATATCTCCTTTTGCAGGGGTTGGTTTAGAATGTCACATGCCACGACCAAATGTTTTTCTCTATACTGTCACTGAGAGGCCAACACCCTGCCACATCGTTCGGTAGCCACAGTTCCCCACGGGCCAAATCATAGGTAGAGACTCTCCACGCAACTAGTAGGGATTCACCTATCATGGCTAGTTAAGTTCTTCACCATTGGTACTAGCTAGCAAGCCAGTTCTATACAGTATTTCACCTTTGGCTCAAAATTCTGTGTTCACTAATCTCTTCATAGGAAGTTGCAAGATTCACCATATGAAGACAACTTGTCTCTACAGGGCTCTCCCCCAGGCCTATCTCACCAGCCATATCTCTCGTTACACTACACCTGGGTCTCTGAGATCTTGGACCATCCCTAAATTGGCGTCGGAACTACGCCGTAGAAACATTCCTTTCCCAGCCACAGCAAGGAAAGCAGAACTCTTTAAGTTATTAACGGTCCAGTCAAACGATCCCAGGCCCGGCACAAGTTCTCAGGAGCCTAATGCCAGCCGTTCGGGACAATTTCAAGACACTGTCATCCATCTTGTCCACCCTTCAGTCACTCAACGAGAGGACGACCAAGATAGAAACCATAATCCCTACAGTTAGCAGTGACCCTCACACTCCAAGTCCAGCACCTGCACCTCCAAACACGCAAGGAAGGGAAATTACTGTCAACCCCTCCACTTCTCACGGTGTCAACCCGTTCCAGCCTCCATTAGGAAAGACATTCTAGATGGCAAGGATGTCAGCCTAGTCTCTCTCTGTAACAGCACCCCCAGGCAAAAAAGGGGTTAACAGCTGTTTAGGAGATATTCCCTTCCAGATATACAGGCAGCTACTGTAGACACCAATACACCGAACTGGAGAAGCATACGAATGCTCTCAAACATACGAAAGCTGTAAACAGCCGAATAGGAAAAACCATACAAATAGGTTTACACTCCTAGCAGTCGAACTGGAACAGCATACAATAAATCCCCCCAAGAACAAAATAAGGCTACGTTTTGAGGGCCAAGCAGGAACAGACAGAGCTGTGAGTTTATTGTTCTTATATACACATTCTTACCCATTAGTACCACCCACAGGGTTTTGTAAAACAACCAATAAACACATACAATACACTCAGACACTCCCACACAAAATACTCCCCTCTGCATGTGATACAATTACCTTACACAATGGGTAATGTAATCATCACAGGCAGAGAAATACAGTTTTTCCACATTATTCATAATTTTAAAAGTATACATCACATTCACATAAATGCACTTACATTTTCAGAATCAGCATACTTTAAATATAAACAACCAAAATTCAGCCAAATCCGTTCAGTACTTAAAAAGTTAGCTGGAAGTCCTTTATGACCAAATGAAGCATGGTTTTTCTGCCCAAAACCAGTTATACAAACTCTTCTATCCTGGAGATAATTGGGAAGTAATCCAATTATCTCCAAGGACAGAGGCAAAACTCCATTGAACACATGGTAGCAAAAGACAATAAAATATATAAAAATATATAACTGTGCAGCTATTGCATAAAACAGGTACATTCAACATATCCCCAGATAGCTTAGATCTGAGTGCACATTATTACTGAAACGCGCTCAGATCACATACATACAGTTCAATTGCCATTGAGCCAAAGTCTTTCACATAGTCTTTCGTTATACGAATGGGCTCCATGGCATAGCTATCTGGGGTATCACTGTTCATATAGGGCAAGTACCGAATGACCCGGTTTTCGTGTCTTTGCAGGGGAAAAATCAAGCGTTTCAACATGGGGCCATAGTCTAAAGGCAGCAGGCTGGCAACCAGGCTCCTCCAATGCACAGTGGCGAGACTGGTCTCGTCACACTCTCCTCATAGCTTCTCAGGATATTCTAGAGAACAGAGCTTTTAGTTTTGGAGGTATGTCTGTGATCCTCAAAACTAGGGACCCACGTCTCAATAAAAAAAAAAAAACTCTCCATCCCTAAATTCGTTCTCGGCCTCGGACTATATAGGGAGTATACCCTGAGAGGCGAGAGGAATTCACCCTCTACCTAGACAAGGTGGTGAACTTAGGGGTCAAGTACGGGGGGTTCGCCTTCTACGACTATCACAGGTCAATTTCATCTAAGGCAGCAGCGGCTCTGGCCCAGTCCAACACCCGCATCGATTGGAGTCAGTTGGACACAGAGCTGTTCTGCAGGCATTTCGCCAACAGTCTGACATTTGGGGCCAAAAGTAGCCCCAAATTGTTTGATCTTTTCGCAGAGACACTTTTCTAGCTACTACTAAACATCTGCTGTTGTCCAGTAATTATTCACTATCTGGCTTCACAGTAGAAGAACCAGGCACAGTACCCCATAGCATAGGAAACAGTAGCATTGTGTAAAACATTAGGAGTACCAGTGAGAACAAGACAGTAGACCCCAACAGACTAACCTTCTTAGGTATCGAACTAGACTCAGCAGCCATGCAAGCTAGCCTGCCATTGGAAAAATTTTAGAGAATCAGGACAGAGGTTGGGTCGTTCCTCAGAGGAATTGCCTCACGGAAGATCCTACAATCACTCCTGGGTTCTCTGAACTTTGCCATGAGAGTCATAACACAAGGAAGGGCATTCATCTCACGCCTGCTTAGTTAGTTACCCAGCTTACCTAACTACGACAGCAGAGTAACACTTGACACACAGGTTAGGGCAGATGACTAGGTGGTACCATATTTGTCAGACTGGAATGGGAGGAATATGTTTATACCCCCTTATCAGAGAACTCCCCGTTATTGTGGACGGATGCTGCAGGCCACTCAGGCTTCGCAGCAAACTTCGAAGACAGGTGGTTTAAGGACACATGGCCAAGTGAGGCACTAGAACTACCCACATTCAACAAAACTTTGGCACTGTTCGAGATCTACCCCATAGGGCAGCAGCAAGAGTCTGGGGCCAGTTATGGGTAGGGAAAGCAGTCCAGTGCTATACAGACAATATGGTGACTTGTGAAATCTTAAACAAAGGCAGGTCGTTGTCACTAACCATCATAGAAGAGACTCACATGGTTGGCAACTACACAAAACAATTTCCTAACTTGCATTCACATGCCTGGTCACCACAATTCTGCAGCTGACGCACTGTCCCGTTCAGATTTTTAGGTTTTCAGACAGCTATACCCAATAGCAGAGGAGCTGCCTAACAAGATGCCACTGTTCAAAGACCTCATCCTGGACCGAAATTACTCATGGAGCACTAGCACAAGCTGCACTATCTATGAACACTAAACGCTCATACAACAGAGCTCTAAAATTATTCAACAAATTTATCACAGAATACCAAAGCACTTACCCATATAGTTTAGATACTATGGTGGCATTCACCTCTTTATGCCACCTTAACCTAAAACTCGTCCAGCAACACATATCCCAATAATAAATGTCGGCACACCCCATTAAAAACATTCTAAAAGGCATTCAACGCCTAGAAAATCCTAAGCCTACCAAATAACAACCAATCGATGCCGAAAATTCAGGGCACTATCCGATATGATGAATAGCAAACCATTTGAAACCCACACCATCAATACTATCAAAACAGCCATATACCTGGCATTTTATGGGTTTTTGCGAACCAACAAACTCACCATAGGTAACAGCAATGACAAGTCAAATATGTTACGCATTTCACACCTAAAAAAAATGGGTGATCACTACACTCTGTCATTACGACATTCCAAAACCAATCAAATAGGTCTGCCCCTCAACATTCAATTTTACCCAACCGGTAACAATTAGTGCCTCGTACAACTATTTGACAAATTCATGTCATCCTTGGCAGAACTACCCAAACAATCTCCCCTCCTTGTCGTACACGGCCACCCATGTATATCAGACTGGTCCCACCCATGCAGAGGGAGCTTGCTGGCATTTCCGATCTGGGCCCAGTCTGATATCCTTTAGAGATGTTCTCTCTGTAATGGCACAAGGAGAGAAAGAGAGAAAGAGAGAAAGAGAGAAAGAGAGAGAGACCGTATTAGTCCAGTGATGTAGATGTAAAAAACAGATAAAATTCAGAACTTGTAATAACTTTTTACTGTACTAACAGCATTTTTTAATGACAAGCTTTCAGGAGAACCTCCCTTTCTCAAGTCTGAAGGAAATGCTTCAGACTTGAGAAAGGGAGGTTCTCCCAAAAGCTTGTCATTAAAAAATTCTGTTAGTCCACTAAAAATGTATTAACATACAAATTTTATCTGATATATATATATATATATATTGTAACAAACCACCTCTTTTACAGATAGGATTGTCTCAGATCTTGCAGTAACCACAGCCTTCTAGGGTATACAAAGTCCAGGACGCATTCAGCTCGGTTTTCTTTTTTATTTGATAAGAAAAACAGGTGCATTAAATAATAACAAACAAACAAAATCCCTTGCTCTTACTTGAGCTCTTACTAGACATAAATCACTCTCTGTAATTGGGTGGCTTTCCAACTTACCAATTTTCCCAAAAAACAAAAATAGTTTTGCAATACACATAAATGTTCACTCTCCTAACTGGCTTTTTGTCCCTCACTCTGCAGCAGGCTGCCCTCTTCTTTTAAAGGCCTGTCTACTAATTGACTAGCTACAGGTGAGTGCCAATTAATTAACTCTTAAGTCAGATCCAAATAGTGGTTTGTTACACAGCAACTAGTGCTGTTGGAGCATTGGCCCACCCTGCTCTCCAAATACTCCGGCCCAGGGACCCATACCATGTTTTGCAGAGCATCAGCTATGCATTTTGCAAACTTTAACATCACTCCCTGGGGCATTTAACTGAAAATTCTCTGGTTGCTGTTTAGCAAATCAGGCCTGATGTATCTTCCATCAACCACAATTCCACTTTTACGCTCACAATATATATATATATATATATATATATATATATATATATATTATAAAATGTAAATAAAAATAAATTAAAAAAATGTAAAAATAATGTACATTTTAAAAATTATATATATATATATATATATATATATATATAATTTTATTCTAACGGTATTTTGATATTAATATATATATATATTAATATCAAAATACCGTTAGAATAAAATTATATATATTTTTATTTTTTATTTTTTTTAAATGTACATTATTTTTACATTTTTTTTATTTTTATTTACATTTTATAATAATATATATATATATACACACAATATATATAGTTATTATATATACACTATATATATGTGTGTGTGTAATTTAATTATAAGTGTATTTTTATATTAATATAAGTTTGATATTATGTTTGATATTATGCATATAAGATACATATATATATATATATATACACACACACACACACATATTTCTTTTTTTACACTGATTGCTTTTTTTAAACTTAACTTTTTTATTTTACAGATGCAGGGAGACACCCTGCAGGCAGATACACAGGCACCTATTGCGGCCATGTGACCACTCTGTTAGAGCGATCACATGGCCGCTGGGGCCTAATTCGCCAGGGGGGACTGCCTTGAGAGTACTTAACCCCTTAAGGACCGATGACAGTTCAGGACCATCACCAGAAACATCCCCTTGAAGACCGGTGACATTCATGAACCATCATAATTGAAATATTTACTTACCTGATCGCCACCGTTCCACGATCAGGTAAGTAAATATTTCCATTATGAAGGTTCAGGACCGTCATCGGTCCTTAAGGGGATGTTTCCGGTGACAGTTCCTGAACCGTCATCGGCCCTTAAAGGATTAAGTACTCTCATTTTATGGTGTATTTATATTTATATTCCCTTTACCTCTACAAAAATAAGACGTTCTTTATTTTTTTTAACCAACAAGTAGTGTTTTAATGTTCCCCCCCATTTTATTATCCCATTTAATTATTTCTTTCCTTACTGGCCATTATACTAGTATAATACTATAGTATACCCCATCCCCTTCCACTATATCTGCCCGATCGTTTTATCGTAGTGGTTTTTATGCAAGCGGTATCTTCACTTGATCTGACTAACTGTACATGCGCCTTAAATTCCACCTCTTCTCCACTGCCATGTGGCTAATTTCCCGTTTAGCCATTTCCGAAACTAAACGTGTGAGCCATTACCGCGCATGCGGCTTATTCCACATTCACAAAATACCACCCATTGCGACCAAACCACAGTTCCACTCTACACTGGCACTACATTCCCCATAATCCCTTGCGGGCATTGTATAATGCACCGATGATGTGCATCACATGGTCTGCTTATTTTTCCCGATATATATTTAATAAGTACACATTTTATAAATATACTTACTATAAAACATGTCTTCTAGTTATGCCTGTATAATTTTTAGGGCTCTGTTAAGTTTTATAAAAGTATACTTATGTTAATCTATGATTGGATGGTGAAATTTTGGTGCTAATTTTAATTAATTGTATTCCTATATAAACTCAAGCAAGCTAGGTTGCATGTTTTCACTCCATTGATAAAGCCTTTTGGCGAAATGTGTTTAAATGTATTGGATGTATGCAATTGTTTTAACTAATGAATAGATTTTGGTCACGTTTGTTTATTATTTTATTCTTCAAACAACCTAGCACCAACTACTTGTACACTTTTCTACTCCAAAGAATCCTAGGTGGGGATCATACCACCTATGCTGGTGTCATAGAGCAGTCAGCCTGCTCTTCCTTTGTAAGTATAATTTTATTATCTTACCAATTATTTATATTTTATTGAGAGCACTATCGTTGTCTTTATTTTGTCGTTTTGTGTTCCCGACAACTTCAGCATCAAGAACACTCATGTCATATCCTTTAAGTGGGGATTGTACTGCTGTACGCTATACACACCAGAGCTGGGTTAAGCTCTACTAAATGTGAGTGTAACCCTATATTATATTGTCTTATTCATATCCAGTGAGATTTAATGCACTATTAGCTTCTTCACTTCTTATCATCCCTCTCTGTATATACAGACATCTGTGAAGTGCAAAGATCACCAATAGTGATGTCGCGAACATAAAATTTTCGGTTCGCGAATGGCGAACGCGAACTTCCGCAAATGTTTGCGAACCGGCGAACCGCCATAGACTTCAATAGGCAGGCGAATTTTAAAACCCACAGGGACTCTTTCTGGCCACAATAGTAATGGAAAAGTTGTTTCAAGGGGACTAACACCTGGACTGTGGTATGCCGGAGGGGGATCCATGGCAAAACTCCCATGGAAAATTACACAGTTGATGCAGAGTCTGCATAAATCACCTAACATTCCTAAATTGTTTGGAATAACGTGCTTTAAAACATCAGATATGATGTTGTATCGATCAGGTAGTGTAAGGGTTACATCCGCTTCACAGTGACAGACCAAACTCCCCGTTAAACGCACCGCAAACAAGGTCTCTTCCTCCACCCAGCCACGTACAACACCAAGGGTCCCCAAAAGGTGACAACAAGCCCCCTGGGACACCTGCTGTGTTTGGTCTTCCACCTCCTCAAAGCCACCTTCCTCCTCTGACTCCTGTTCTTCAGACTCCTCTCTCTGCATTGCCTCTCTCTGCGTTATTATAAGGTGTGTTAAGTAGTACTATTCCTATCAGTTTAATCCCTGTTACGTCCCCCTATCAGGAGACGTGTATATGGCATCGATTTTAGGAACCGGAAGATGGAAAAAGATGCTTGGTCGGTCCTCCTTCTTCAAATTTGGGGCACTGCGCGTGCAATCTAATGTGCCACCAGATAGGAGTGGTGTGTTAAGTAGTACTATTATTATCAGTTTAATCCCAATGTCACGACTACTAGTGTGGTCCAGCACGCAGAAACTATGTAAACATATACATAGGCAAGAAAAGGAAAATAAAAGGACAGAGCGTAAACCGGACCTTAGAATGGCCGGACTAATACGCTAGAGACAGAGAATGGTCAAAGGGAAAGCCGAGGTCAAGGAAGCCAGAAAATACACAATACCGTTTACACAAGCCAAGTCAGGGAAACCAGAATTCAGAATAACCAGGGAAAAGCCAAGATTAGGATACCAGGAAATCAGATTCACAATGATAAAGCACTCTCAGGAAACCAGGAAAAGGAAACCACGACAGGTACTGGGGTGAGCTAGGGATTTAAATATCATGCGGCGGGCCGGCAGCCGCGACACCCTGTTATGTCCCCCTCATCAGGCCTTTTTTAGTCAAATGTATCGTCCACTGTCAGTCCCTTTTGGATCCATCCCTCATTCATCTTAATAAAGGTGAGGTAATCTAGACTTTTTTGACCTAGGCGACTTCTCTTCTCAGTGACAATACCTCCTGCTGCACTGAAGGTCCTTTCTGAAAGGATACTTGAAGCGGTGCAGGCCAGAAGTTCTATTGCAAATTGGGATAGCTCAGGCCACAGGTCAAGCCTGCACACCCAGGAGTCAAGGGGTTCATTGCTCCTCAGAGTGTCGATATCTGCAGTTAAGGCGAGGTAGTCTGCTACCTGCCGGTTGAGTCGTTCTCTGAGGGTGGACCCCGAAGGGCTGTGGCAATGCGTAGGACTTAAAAAGCTCTGCATGTCCTCCATCAACAACACGTCTGTAAAGCGTCCTGTCCTTGCCGGCGTAGTCGTGGGAGGAGGAGGATTACTTTCACCTCTTCCCCTGTTAGATTCCCGTTGTGCTGTGACATCACCCTTATACGCTGTGTAAGGCATACTTTTTAATTGATTTTGGAACTGCTGCATCCTTTCCGACTTGCCGTAATTCGGTAAAATTTCAGGCACTTTCTGCTTATACTGGGGGTCTAGTAGCGTGGACATCCAGTACAGGTCGTTCTCCTTCACGCCTTTTTATACGAGGGTCCCTCAACAGGCACGACAGCATGAAAAGACTCCATTTGCACAAGGTTGGATGCCGAGCTACTCATGTCCTGTTCCTCGTCCTCAGTGATCTCACTGAAGGTATGTTCTTCCCCCCAGCCACGTACAACACCACGGGTACCAGATAGGTGACAACGAGCACCCTGGGATGCCTGTTGTGGTTGGTCTTCCTCCTCCTCCTCAAAGCCACATTCCTCCTCTGACTCCTCTTCCTCACAATCCTCTTCCAGCGTTGCCGCAGGTCCAGCAAGTGATGCTGATAAGGCTGTTTCTGGTGGTGATGGTGACCACAACTCTTCCTCTTCACGCTCATCTACGGCCTGATCCAGCACTCTTCGCAGGGCACGCTCCAGGAAG